GTTGTTGTTGTTGAGTTTGAACTGCTAAATAATAATTATTATTGGACCCCCCCAGGCGCTTTGGCGCTCTCGCCTCGGCGCTGGCTACATTTTCATAGAGAATGAGGCCCACGCTCGAGCGGTTTTGGGGGGCGCCCAAACGGGCCCCCCAACAATAACAACGCTCCCGCTCGAGCCTTCCTCCTTTTTTGCTCAGGGCCGGTGCTCTTGCTCGCCGCCGAAAGCTGCCGTCCCAACAAAACCAAGGCTACCGCTCGAGACTTCCTCCCGTTTTATGTACCTTGGACTGGCGCGCTACTCTTTCTCTCATCGGCGCCGCCCCCAGCAACAACAACGCTCCCGCTCGAGACTTCCTCCCTTTTTCACTCGAGGCGGTACTCTTCCTCGCCGCCGAAAACCGCCGTCCCGACAAACCAGCGCTCCCGCGCACCAGTCTCCGCTCGTATCCACCTGCCCCCACTTTTCAACGTTCTTTCCCAGTCTTCTTTGCTCTTTCCCTTTATATTCATTTTCATGGCGTTCGTACTCCATTGTGCTATTACTCAGTTCTTCGCATTCCGCCCGCTCCTCCCCAGGCCGCCCCAACCCGTCCCAACAATCTCCACCCCTTCCCGCTCGCGTTCCGCATTTCCCCCGAGTTATTCCCAGTCCCTCCTCCACATTCCTCCGTGCGCCCCCCGCTCCTCCGCACTCCTCCCGGTTCCTCTTCTCCACTCCTTGCCGTTCCTCCTCCTGAGATCCTACTCTTGTCCACTCCATCCCAATCCACTCCACGCCCCCGCGTTCCTCTCGACGCGGTTGCAGTTCTCAATATTCTTTCGCCCTGCTCTCCCAACGTCCCGCTTCTCTTCAGGGTTCCACGACATTTGTCTCTGACGCCGGTTCGCGGCTGCGCGTCCCCCCGTGGGGGTATCCGCGATGTGCTCTTTCAGGGGGGTGGTGCGTGGCGCTGTTTATGGCACGGCCCATGGCGAAGCTTACTGGTAACCTGTGTTGAGTGGCTGGCGCCAGCCGTGGCGCAAGCTGAATCGCCACTCGCAGCCCCTCCCCTCCCTTCCTCCGATCCTTTGGTTCTCGTTCCCCCCCGTCATGTGTCGCGCTTCCATTTCAAGGGCCCGCCAGCCGCGCGTGGCAGGGAATGAACGTACCCCCCCAAAAGGAGGTGCTATCGAATGCGAAGAGGGTGGGTGTCCAGGGTTTGGGATATGCATATTGAATGACGCGCGAGCAGATAATAACGAACAATCTTAAACTGACTGTTGTTGTTGTTGTCGTTGTTGTTGTCGTTGTTGAATTTCAGTTAAAACCAAAACAGCATTTTTAGCCCCCCCGTCCAGTAACCGTTCGTTTTTTCTTTCAAGTGCTCCTCCGGGGGCTCGCGCCCTGCATTCGAGAAGGGGAGGCGAGGTGTCGCCAAACTGGGCCCTTGCCCCCCGAGTTAGAACAACAACGACTCCCACCTGAATCCCTCGCAATTTATTCCAGAATCGCACTCTCGCGCGGGACTTCCTCGCAAGTTACGTAGGAATCGCGCTTTCGCGTGGGGCCACTTCGCAATTTATTCAGACGCTGCGCCCTCGACGCTCAGGAATCTTGTTTTCGCTCAGTCGTTTCTCGCGGTTTACTTGACAATCGCATTCTCGCTAGCCATTTCCTTTATGATGGGTTGACGCTTTAACGACCCGCCCGCTAGACCTGGCCGTCTAGGGCCCGCCCGTCCGACAGGGTCGCTCGGGTCGGCCCGCCCGACACGCTGGGCTCGTTCTGCCGCTTGTGCTGTTGCTTTTAAGTCTCGTCCTGCACGTAAATCTCCTCCTGTACATTTCTCTCGTGCTCCATGTTTTTCTCCCTCCCCCTTGTTTCTTCACTCCTCACCTCCTTCCCCTGTTTTAGGAGTTGCGCCAACTACCCGCACGACCAGAGAACATTTCCAGAGCACTGATGCTGGTTCCTTGCCGGACGTCCTGTCGCGTGCCGGGAGGCATGCAAGGGGCCAGGGCTGCCAAAACATGTGTGTGTGCATGTTTATGCATATGTATGTGTATATGTATACGTATATGTGTATGTTTGTGTGTATGTATATGTACATGCACATATGTACACGGACACATGCAACATTATATATTTGCATGTGTACATGGCGGTGTTTATGTTTATGTCAATGTATAATACCATGATTATGTATATGTTTTTTTTGTGTATGCACATATATATATATATATCCATATGTATCCATATGTATATGTACATATATATTATATATATATATATATATATATATATATATATATATATATATATATATGCTCCGCGGTTTGGCCATGTTCCCTCCCTCCGTCACACGCACCCAGTGGATCGAAAACTAAATGGACGGGTCCCGACGGTTTGGGGCATTGTTGTTGTTGTTGTTGTTGTTTTTGTTGTTATTGCTGTTGTTGTTGTTTCTGCTGTTATTGTGGTTGTGGTTGCTGTTGTGGTTGTTGTCGTTGTTGTTGTGGCTAGTAATGTGGCTGTTGTTGTTGCTTTTGTCTTGCTGCTGTTCGTGTTGTTGTTGCTGCTGCTGCTGTTGTTGTTGTTGTTGCTGTTGTTGTTGTTGTTGTTGTTGTTGAACATTATTACTTCTAAAGAATAATTATTGTTGGGACCCCTGGTGCACGACCCCCCCGCCGCGCCTAGGCCGCAGCCTCATTTTCATCATTTTCGTGAGGAAGTCTCAGGCAAAACGGGTTGGTCCGGATCCGGTTGTGTTGTTACGATCGGTTTTCCCTTGCAAAGAAATAAGCTAAAGTGGACATTTCTTGTTCTAACATAACCAAACTTCAAGAATCCCTTGCAAAAAATAAGGTAAAGTGGACATTCGCGCGCGCAAGACGAAATCCTTCCAAAACCTTAGTTTTCGTAGCGATTTTAACATAAAAACATAAAAAACCAATGGTTTTTCAAAAAAAAATGTCAAAATTTCATCCCGCGCGCTCTTGCGGATTCGTAGGAAACCCAACACTTTTTAATCATTTCTGTCAAACGGGCTTTTGCGAGCAACTTTTTCGAACTTCTGCAACAACGGTTGCGCACCTGCCAGGGCCATCATCCCTGTCAAATAATACCATGCGGGACACATTCGTTTTTTCTTCGCGCGCGCACGCCGTCGTCGTCGGCCGCGGGGCCCTGAATAGTAGCCACGGTCGTCCGCATGCCACGAAGTGAAGTGTCCGAACGTCATAGGGCGGGAAGCTGGGTGTGGGTGGTGGCGAAGAGTCGTTTGGAAATTTGGTAGAGCTTGAACCGGCCCCCCCACAAAGTGGGGGTATTGCCCGCCTCCTATGAAAACCCTAGCACTGGTGAGAACGGTGTGTCCCCACGTGCTAGTAATTGTTGTTGTTGTTGTTGTTGTTGTTGTTGTTGTTGTTGTTGTTGTTGTTGTTGTTGTTGTTGTTGTTGTTGTTGTTTGTGTTGTTGCAGTGCTTGTTGATATAGTTGTCGTTGCTGTTATGGCTGGTTGTCACTTGTTGCTGTTGTTTTCGTTCTTGCTGTTGTTCGTATTGTTGTTTCTGCTGCTGTTGTTGTTGATGTGTTTGCCGTTGTTTTTTGTTGTTGTTGTGGTCGTTGTTGTTGCTGTTGTTGTCGTTGTTGTTGCTGCTGCTGCTGCTGCTGCTACTGTTGTTGTTGTTGTTGCTTCCGTTGTGATTGTGATTGTTGCTGTTGTTGTTGCTGCTGTTGTTGTTGTCGTTGTTGTTGTGGTTGTCGTGTTGTTGTTGCTACTGTTGTTGTTGTGGTTGTTGTTGTTGTTGTTGATGATGGACACGTGCACTGACGACCCGCCCCCCCCCCCCGCACCAACCCAACACCCCAATAGCCCCGTGGGGCCCCCGCGGTGGCCCCGTCGGGGCCTGCGGTGGCCCCACGGAGCTGTTGGGGTGTTGTTGTTGGTGTCCTATAAGATTCCATGGGGGTCCTATAGGATACTTGGGGATTCTATACGATTCCACCGGGAACCTGTACGATCCCATAGGAACCCGATTGAAATGCCATACGGATCCTATCGGATTCCGTGGTGATCCTATCGGATTCCATTGAGATCTTGTAGGATGCCATATGGGATCCTATCGGGTTCCATGGTGGTCCGTAGGAATCCTTATACGACCCCTGGGAATCCTGATCTGATCCCCATGGAACCCTATAGGAATCCGACAGGATTCCTATGGAATCCTAAAAGATCCCCAGGGGATCCTCCAGGAGTCCTACATGGTCCCTATGGAGTCCTATAGGTTCCCTATGGAATCCTACATGACCCGCATGGGATCCTGTAGGACCCCTATAAGGACTCAATGGAATCCTATATGTTCCGTATTGAATCACACAGACATCCCAATGGAATTCTATGGGATCCCGATGGAATCCTATTGGAGTCCAATCGGATCCCTATGGTGGCCGTGGCTCTGAGCACATCCTTAAGCACGTCCCCGTAGGAATCCTTAGGGGATCCTAAGGAATCCTCAGGGGATCATAGGGACTCCTTCGGGGATCCAGAGGAATCCCGAGGGAATCCACCTCTTGAGGATCGTGGTCCTGGCCCCACAGGGAGCACCACCAAAACTCGATTTCGGCACACCCCTCTCGAGGATCGTGGCCCTCGCCCCATAGGGAGCTCCACCGAAGCCTTATTTCGGAACACCCCTCTCGAGGATCGTGGCCCTGGCCCCACAGGGAGCTCCACCGAAGCTTCATTTCGGCATACCCCTCTCGAGGATCGTGGTCCTGGCCCCACAGGGAGCTCCTCCGAAGCTTCATTTCGACACACCCCTCTCGAGGATCGTGGCTTCTCGAGGATCGCGGCCCTCGTCCGGCAGGAAGCTCCACCGAAACTTCATTTCGGGACACCCCTCTCGAAAATCGTGGTTCTGTCGCCACAAGGAGTTCCGCCGAATCCTCATTTCGGCACACCCCTCTCGAGGATCGTGGTCCTGGCCCCGCAGGGAGCACCACCGAAACTTGATTTCGGC